TGGGAAAAAAAGGGGGGGGAAGGTTAGAAACTTTATTAATTGACTTTTATTTAAAAGATGTTATAAAGGTGTAATGTTATTGGAGGATTTTTTGAAATAGCTAATGAATGCCATTATGGTTGTGTTTTTAAGTATGAATGAGTATGAGTGGTTGTGTTTTTAAGTATGAATGATTTGAGGTAAAAGCATGTTCAAATAATTGTAGTCAAATGAGAATTGTGGTACATTAATAGTAAGATATACAAAGATTTTTGATTTAAAGTGTATACTCTAATATGAACTATAAGTAATGACTATGGAAGAAATGCATGAAAGTTACCTGTAACCAATTGAACGCTTTCTACAAGATGTAATGAAGGATGATTCTTTTTTTGTGTTTTTGTTCAATTAAAATAAAAAAAAATCAAAAAAATATATCTGGGAATTGAAGTTTACATATCTGAAAAGCTGCCAAGTTGGGGATTTAGGTGCACAAAGATGCACAACACTTAATTAGCTTTTAAAACTTCTACGAGCATTTACCAGTTTTAATAACCTGTTTAGAACAATGTTATTTGCAAAATGTGTTATCTACGTAACCACAAGTGAAAAAAATGCACTGACAACAGCTTTAATCAATGACGATCTCAAAATGTATATACAATCCTAAATCATCCAGTTCACTTCCAGTGTTTTAATAACTAGTTCAAAGGTTAGACAGGTTGGAATGGTTTAATCATATTTAAACATACAATCCTGATTTTTATTCCCAGTGCTATTAATTTTAGCTCTATTCTAATTCAAAAACAACCGGGAAGATAATTCAATCAATTGGTTCAATGTTCCTTTCATATTTTGTTTTGAATGTCTCCCTAACTCCCATGATCAAGTAAACATGTTTTGATTTCAATGAACCATATTCACAAGCATGATGAAAATTCTTTAATTCATAATACCTGTGTATAAAGTTGTATAAGTCTAGAGTATGTGTAGTTGTCCCCGGATTCTTCCGAAAATTCTGCTAGGTTTTCCAGGGTAGTAGAGGCCTGAATTAAGAAAGCATCTATCGAAAGAAGACATTTGATATTTCAATGAAAAAGAGCAAAATTATCTATGCAATAAAAACTCAGCTATATTATTTTTCAAGAGCAAAGCATGATAACAAAATATTCATATTATCTGAGTCTATACTGAAGGCCAGAAAATACAAGCTCAATGTATGCCTACTTACAAAACAAGCTCTACTTTAAAATACTGGCGCTTACAAAGTAGCTGTAGGTTACAGTCAGTAAGCTACAAGTTACAATGGCTCTATATTAACTGAAAGAATTAAGAATACACAAATTTCTGGGTATTATTACTGGAGAAATGTAACGAAGAAAAATGACTACTTTCATATCTTGCTTGTGGGGTTTCCAGAGGTAAAGAATAATGAGACCAAAATCACTTTTCCAGTATTATGAGTCAGGCAAGGTCAAATCAGTGAACAGAACTGGAATTGTAATGAATACCAGAAACGAGGCATTCCAGCAATCTGGAACTAAAGCCAATATGGGATGAAGTGAAGCCTGACTTGCCACAGACTCTGGGAGAGAATTACAGTGCCATAAAAATGAGACAATGGAACTAAGTTCCAAGATATTATGAAAAAAAATAACTGAATATTAATAAATGTTTTAAGGAGTGTTCACCATGGAGGTCACTATCTACTCTCATGGGTCAATGGGATTATCATTGTTATGATTATTATTCAAAATATTATTAGTTTAAAAGCAGTAGTTTTCATTTATTAAGGTATTTTCATATAATAAATGTTAGTGGTTGATAAACAATCTGACAATTTCACGAAGAGGTAGATGATTTGAAGAGTTTGGGGATAGTGGTTTTAAGCAAATACTTATCAAGCACAAGTAGAGGGGGGTCTTTGGGTAATGACCACTCATTAATTACTGTGGTCATGTGATCATGATTTGCCAGCTTCTCAGAAGCAAAGTGGGAAGCTGGAGAAAGTCAAAAGCTGTGGTCATTTGAGATCCTTGTTTTAATATTCACAGTCACTTCATGTCCACATGCTTAGTCACAGAAATTCTGATCCCAATTGCCATAGTTAAGCAAGGATTATATGTAGGCATATAATAGCTTCAATGTTGCCCCTGTGGTTAGGCTTCTAAAGGAAGTTGGAGTAGCTAGAAGTAGTTGAAGTTATGATTTGACATTTAGGCAGTAGATTTAGTTGGTGAATCGTAGCAACTGGGTCCTTTTAAACATTGTCTTTTTATAATTCAGAATTATAACTTTATGATCCTATATTTTCTTTTCACTTGATTATAAATACATTCTGTTTCCTGGGTATAAGAGTCTTGCCCATAGATTCCAATACATGTTTGACCTGCTTTTACAAAGTCATCATAAAGTGTTTGAGCCTGAAGTACTCAAGGGCCTGCTTGGGTAGACTAAACAAACCTCATCTTAAAAAGGGAGAAAAAAACTTGTAAGTCACAAATGGAATAGGAGTTCCTTTTTACAGAGTTTTCTCCCCCAGTGGCTGCTCAGCCAAACTGCAGGGCTGTCAAATCACAGAGCTGCTGAGACCACACACAACAGTGTATACCGAAGTACACATTGCTTTACAATATTTGTTGTTTTGTCATTCAAATATATCCAGTTTCTGTGGTTTGCAAAATAGGATCTATAGCTAAGTATGTCATACAAGACCAAGTCATTCCAAATCATTCAGTAAACTACAGGTTTACTATTTACTGCTTGACTTATGATTGCAACTGAGCTCAAAATTTATGTTGTTACATCCCATTTTACGACCTTTTTTACCAATTGTTAAGTGAATCATTGCAGCTGTTAAGTTAGTAACACAGTTGTTAAGTGAATCTGGCTTCCCCATTGACTTTGCTTGTGAGAAGGTCGCAAAAGACGATCACATGACCCTAGGACACTGCAACAGTCATAAATATAAACTGGTTGCCAAGCACCCACATTTTGATCATGTGATCACTGGGAATGCTGTAATGGTTTTAAGTGTGAAAAACCTGTCATGTCACTTTTTTCAGTGTTGGTGTAACTAAATTGTTGCAAGTTGATTACCTATATGCTTTAAGTATATGATCTGTAGATAATATCATTATCATTCCTTGGAGTTCTGCTTAATCCCAGCTGAATGCAAGAATGTATCTTTATAGTTTTCTTGTAGTCTGTAAGTCGAAGACTACCTGTACAGTAATAGGGTGGTTCAGTGGTTAAGACTTGTCGATCAGAAGGGTTGGCAGTTCGAATCCCTAGCGCCGTGTAACAGAGTGAGCTCCCGTTCCTTGTCCCAGCTTCTGCCCTCCTAGCAGTTCGAAAGGATGTAAAAATGCAAGTATAAAAAAATAGGAACCACCTTTGGTGGGAAGGTAACAGCGTTCCGTGCGCCTTTGGCGTTTAGTCATGCCGGTCACATGACTACGGAGACGTCTTCGGCTCTTCGGTTTTGAAATGGAGATGAGCACTGCCCCCTAGAGTCGGGAACGACTAGCACGTATGTGCAAGGGGAACCTTTACCTTTACTTGTACAATTAAGCACACAAAGGCTTATCCCAATGTATGAACCAGGCTTTTGAAGGGAGAAAACTATTCTTCCAAGAGGGCACTTGGGCATGTCCTGGTTATGGGGTTTCCAAGAGGTAAACAATGATAACAATAAAGACCATACTGGAAAAGTGATTTTGGTGTGACCCCGGCGAGATTCAATTTTCTAATCACGCCACGGCAATTAATCTGCTCCAGAAACGGACTCCCCATCCGACCCATTCAAAGAAAGCACCTCGTGAAGAAAACACGCTCTTCCATCCTCCGTATCCAGCCTGTTCTACTCCAAGGGGAAAAACAGACCATGGGATGCGAAGGTCGGGCGTGCCGTAGAAGCGGCCAGCCACTTTGCGGCAACAAGGAGAGCCATATCGGGGCAGATCCGGGAGCCGCGCCGTCCCTTCTTACCGCCAAACTCTCCGCCTTCTCGCCAACGGTTCAGCCTCTCCGTTAACTCGGCAAGCCGCCGCTGCAGGAGACCGGCAAAGGGAGCTTCGGCCATAGGGAAAAAACGGGGCCGGGCTTAGCTTCAGTTACACGCATCACGTGACTCGCCTTCCGAGCCGCAGCCACGTGATCCTCACCCTCTATCACGTGGGAGGCTCGCGCCCAAGGTTTCTCTTGTTAAAGTTGGGCGACGCGACGTGTTTTTTTTTTTTTAAGAGGAGGCTTTGGTTGCTAGAGATAGGAAACCTTTAGAGGTGCTTCTTACTCTCGTAAAGCCAAGACAAGTCACGTGTTCAAAAGCATCCATAGAGAGGTCGGTGGAGCAAAAGCAGTTTTGTTCAGAAATTTCACGCGCAGGGATCGATCTCTAAACACGGAGGCACTTTACCTCTCCTTTATGGAAGAAAAAAGGGAAAACTTTAAAATCAGAATGACACAATAATGAGATTGTTTGTTTATTGGATTTATATGTTTGTTTATTGGATTTAGATTGTGTAAGAAGCGGTCCCCCCCTCCCTTTCAAAAGCATGTTTTTATACTTTTTAATGTAGATCGTTTTCGGATTTTGTTCCTAAATCAAACTTCCACAGAGGTCAATCAAATAACATTTCTGAATGATTGCAAGTCTTGCATGTGGACCCCCACGGTGGAATTGGAACAAAAGTCCCTGCTTCTTCAAGGCTATTTATGTTTCAGTGAGTTCACTTAACTTTTCTTCTTAAGAAAAAAATGTATAAAATTGTAGTCTCAGTGGAAGTAGGGAAAGGATGATTGCTGGGAGTCATTTTGAATAGAGAATTTGATGATGAGAGTTCAAATAAGTCCCAGGATCCCCAGGAACCATTTAATACAGAATTATAATAAAGTATAATCATGTTAGTGTAACAGTTAAGGAAAGTCTTGACACTGGCTTAGCATGTGCTTTATCTCAGCATTTTTTTTTTTACTAATAAAATAACTGGATGAGAGTTTTGAAATCTTTTGCAGTTATTTGACCTCAGCTGAGAATAACACTGAAATACACTAGGATAGAAGGACAAGATGGCTCAGCGGCTAAGATGCTGATCTTGTTGATCAGAAAGATCGGCAGTTTGAACCTCTAGCACCACGTAAAGGAGTGAGCTCCCGTTACTTGTCCCAGCTTCTGCCAACCTAGCAATTCGAAAGCATGTACAAATGCAAGTAGAAAAATAGGAACCACCTTTGGTGCGCTTTTGGCATTTAGTCATGATGGCCACATGACCATGGAGACATATTCAGACAGCGCTGGCTCTTTGTCTTTGAAACAGACATGAGCACCACCCCCTAGAGTCGGGAACGACTAGCACATATGTGCAAGTGGAACCTTCACCTTTACTTTGTAGGATTATTCTAAACTGTTATCTCAGCCTCTGCTTGCTCTTGGCTTAATTTACAGTAGTTTGCACAGGCAAAGGGGAGAGCAAATTCTGAATTAACTGCAAACAGGCCTATTTGGAGGTCAAAAAAGTTAAAATGTGGCTTGAGTCAGATGATGACTTTTAACATGGTATATAATAGTAGATCCATCTAGTCTTTCAAAGACTAGAAAAGTGTTTTCCTGGATAGTACAGGTACTTCTTGGCTTATGTCTGCAATTGGGATCAGATTTCTGGTTCTAAGTCATTGCAGTTGTTAAGTTGAAGCACCCACATGACGAGTCATTTTACGACATTTTTTGCAGCAGTTAAGAAATGTCATAAGTGTGAAGCCATTCTTTTAAATCAGCCCTGTCAAACTGGCGGCCCGCAAGATGTACCGTATATATCACATGCAGGCCACACCCATCCCAGCTCCAAAAAGGCAAAAAACATCACAATCCGGCCCATGAAGCGATTTAATTAGACACCCATGATTTAAATCTGCCAGAAGCCAATATAAAACATCGTAAATTGTGGTGATATTACTACAGGATGCTGCAACTTACCATAAAGGTGAACCAGTTCTCAATGCACCTGAAATGTAGTCACATCATTGTGTGTGTGTATTTGTATCCATGTATACATATGTGTATACTATGGCCAGAAATGCTTTCCTAAAAGCACTAGTGTAAAACACCCTACTGGCCCCATTGCAATTTTGTATGGTCATTAAGCAACCAGACATAAGTTGAAGACTGACAGCGAAATTAAAAATGACCTATTGGTAAAACTAATAAAAGTTTGCTTAATCCAGAGTACCTCTGATTAAAGTTATCATTTGTTCAATAGATTATAGAATCTATCATTCTTGTTGAATTGTACAGCTGATGAAAGAATTAATGTTTTCATTAGGGAGGTTCGCAGAAATACATTTATCATTTTAGAGAGTCCAATACTGTCAGAGATGAAAGAATCTCCCTTAACTCACTCTATAGTGGAATTGGAAAGCTGTGGAATAATCCTAGTGTTTCTTTTTAAATTAGGGTTGTGCACATTTAAAAAAATGCCTCAGGTCTCCTCTGAACACAATTATGTCATCACTGCTATTCATTAAAGCTGCCCAAGCCTGAAAAAATGCCACTACTTTAAGTTGGACCTGCGTGTAGTATGTTTAGTAACTGGCAGGCTTACAGTATTAAAATGCTCAAATCCACCAAATATATCCCAGAGTGTCCAGGGATAAATAAATAATAACTCTACTTACCAATATAAAAATGAAATAAAACAGTTCTTTTACCCACCTGACCCAAACACTGGAGTTTGACAAAAATAATGGATGCAAAGTATCTCTTGAGTTTATAATTATTTCACTTTAATTTGTTAAAGTTCAAACAAATCAACACATTTGTTTGTAGAAGAAAACGTGATGGAGAATGCTGATTTTTATAGAGAAGAAACTATCAAGCAAGCAGAGCCAGCAAATAATAGAGGACATCTGGGTTGCAAAAATCTACATGACCATTAGATGGCAGCAAAGAGATATAGAAACAAGCTTTTGCTGCCATCTAATGGCTGCTTGGATTTTCAATGCCCTTATGTAACAGCTCTAATAAAGAGCCAGCAGGATTAAAGCTGGTATAATATAGACTTGAATTTAAAGCCCTGGTTTCAAACCATTGATTTTAAAAGTTCTACTAGGACCAGGTGATCTTTTGCTGCCTTTCCATGTTTGGCTACAGTTCTGTTTTCTCCCCAGATGTTGCCACGTAGATCCGCTTCCTCCTCAGACATGCTGCTAAAAACCACTTATGGCCTACAGCTTGCTTTCCCACGGTCCCATGGTGCCGTGCTCTTTAGGGAGGCAAGGACAGAATGAGGGCAGACAAAGCTGACCAGAGATCAGAGCAAAGGAAGTGTGCTTGAAATGCCAATAAGTGTCTCTCTGATTCCACCTACCTCTGGCCACTAAATTTCAGTGCCACTGTAACTAGTAGCAAAATGCAACAGATTTTACCCATGTTGCGGTTATTCTTGGATGCTCTCAGATTAAGTGAAAACTGGGTTAACATCAGTACAGCTACATTTGACTTAAAAGGGCTGGAGAATGAAGAAGAAAATAAGGGGATTTTACAGGAAAAAATGTTAGCCTAGGTAATGGTTGCACCATGGCTAGGTGCAAATAATGGGGAACCCAGAGCGGGATGTAGCCCATTAAATGGCTCGTGTGATCTGTTGTCACCAGGGTGGGAGTGGGTGAGGTGATTTTGTTATATTGTACTAATTTATTTGATTCTGTTTTTTAGCTTTTATTGTTTTAAATGTGGTTTTATATTGTGTAAGCTGCCTTGAGTCGCCATGGGCGAATAGGCAGCAATATAAATTAGATGGATGGATAAATAGATAGATAGGTAAGGAAAACCTTAACAAGAAAATCCAAGTTTATAAAATTATGTATGGAAAAATTTAAGGGATAGGACAAATGTTCTATGCACATTTGCAGCCTTTCCTGGATCAGAATTCCCTGCTCTCAGTTGTTCAGTGCCTAGTCATCGGACAACTGGACTATTGTAATGCACTCCACACGAGAAGGCAGAGAGCAGATTGTGGGCAGGCAGGCAGGCTGGTAACATATATTTTTCTGGGAATCTCTTCTTTACTGTTCAGACTGTGGTATGGAACAGAAGCACAGGTGATTACATCAGTGGTGACTGGAGAAGAGAAAAGATTGGCTTGAGGATATAATAAAGGCAGGGAGATATTTTTGGGCTGGGAGAGGCAGAAAAGGAAGGCAATAGTGGGAAATGCATGAGGAATTGCTGAGAGGCAAAGAACATGAATCTTTACTTCACACACAATTCCACCCACACCAATGTGTTTCACCCTTTGGATTTCATCCCTCTGTGTGGGAGATGGGTGGTTTCTAAATACATAAAATACAAATTTGCACCATCTGATATCCAAAGCAAAGAAGAACATTCCCAGTTTCTGCCAAATTGCAGCCAACTCAAGGTGTCTGGGCTTAGTTCTTGAATGTAATGATTTATTATAGACTCTAAACAACTATTTTCTCTGATAAAGGAGAATATTTGTAGCTCAGCATTGAAATAAGGGAACCTTGGTGCTCTCAGATCTTGGTTGTTTTCTTGCAGGCATTTCATTACCCCAACTAGGTAACACAACCAAGGACCCCTCAACTATTTTCTCTTTTGTGTAGAAACCTAGCAACATCAGAAAAGGCAGAAAATAAACATGAAGCCAGTTTAGTTTAGCCTGTTTCTCCACCTTTAACAGGGGTTTCAGTTAGAGAAAAGGGAGAGCTTCACAGGGTGTGAAACCAAAATGGCAGTTTTTAAATAGCAAACTTACAATTCAAAAGGGATAAACTACCAGGCTTAATGGGAAAGTGGGCAAGTTTTAAAGTTCAAGATTCACTTTTTTTTAATATTTATGTGTGAATTCTACTTCTAACCCCAACTCCATTCATTTCAGTGGTTTTTAGTCACAGTCACTGCTCTGCAGTCTGAAACATGTCTTTGTTTATTCTCACTGCAAAAATGTAAACATGGTTACTTCCAAGTGATCTGCCCCATTTTTTCTTACCCTATCTAAGATAGCTAAGACACAAACTTTCTGGGCTGTCTGTACTAGTTTCCAATGTATTATTTCCTGGGAGTAAGCTCCATTCAGCACAACCAGGTTTACTTACTTTACTTTAAATCCCTCCATCTCTGGCCTGGAGAATTTCTCCTCTAATGATTCGTTCAACTCCCTATAAACCACGGGCCCTTCTCGTGCAGTTTTGGAAAGGGTTAAAGGAAACGTCAGGGCCGAGCCCCTAACCCTCCCCAGCCTCTACGGAGATCTCCAGCGCAGCTTTTGCCAGCTGGGCGCGGTTTTTTTCCAGCAGCATCGCACAGAGGGGGTTGGGCATCCGCTGCCGCCTTCTCGTCAAGGCCGCCGCCGCCACCGCCGCTAGCCCAGCTCCTTCCTCCTCGCTCTGCACGCCGCACAAGCCCGAAGATGGCGGCTCACCATCTCCTCGCCCGCTTGCACCGCTGCTTCTTGCCCGCCGCTTCCCGATGGGGATCAGGGCACAGGACGGCGCCACTGGCTCTCGGGGCGCAAGCGAAGGTAAAGCGGCCACGTCGGGAGGTTTGGGTCCCTCGCAGTGTGTGTGTGTGTGTGGGGACCTTACGGGCTTGCGGCGGCGTTTTGCTTTTGGCCGAACATGACCCGCTGTTGGTAGATTCGGGCATCCTTCGCCAGGTTCATGGCAAAGTGGGGCCGGGTGGCTTCTCACGGATTGGCCGAGGGCGCGCGCGGGAGCGCAGCCATCCCTTTGGAGATCCTTTTTCTCTAATCGGTCTCTTTAAGAGCACACTTGATCCGCAGCAATTGGCGGGGGGTCAAGTCCAGCTCCGCGCCAGGAAGAACCTGAGCCTGGTCTGGCGGGGCCAAGCCGCTCTCGCAGGCAGAAGAGCCGGTCGGACGGCTTACAGTCGCGTCTCGCCCTCCTCGCGTTTCTTTGCTCCCTTCTTGGCTGTGACGCGGATTCCCCCGACAACTAGTTAGGCCTGTTTCTTTGGCTCCCACCAGGATCGGGTCTAGCCCCGGGGCTCTTTCCATGCAAGGAAAATATTTCACCCCAGCCGGGGCAGGAAAGGTGACCTCCGATCTGCTGCGGAATGAATGACGCGCCTGCATCCTTTCTTCTGTCGGCTGGCTGGAGAGGTCAGCGCATTACGGGCGGCGCGTCCTTGGACGTGGCTGCAGAAAAGGGACTGTGCGCCGACCTGACCTTGAAGGAAGAGGAACAGGGGTTTTTCAGCTCTGCTTCCGCAACTAGGGGCTTCATTTACTTAAAACGGAAGAAGGGAGATCCAGTGGTGGGCCAGATCGAGAGGCGGCTTTAATGGATCTCTTTGAAGATCCATTAACGGTGGCTGAACGGAACGGTGCTTACAGCTCCATTCTGCGCATGGCTTACTCGGAAAGAAAGCTTGCTCCTCTTAAACAGCCTTTCCCTCTGAGGCCTTATCTGTCTGGAAAATGAAAGTTTAAAAACAAAAAAAATACCTGCATCTCTCCTCTCAGGAATATATATTGGAGGTCTTTTATTAAAGCTGTGTTTTGTGACAGCTTGCTCTGGGCTTTGGCAGTGTTTTTCAAACTTGACAACTTTTAAGATGGGAGAATTTCAAATCCCAGAATGTTGGCTGGGGAATTATGGTAATTGAAGTTGTCCTCTTTAAATGTGCCAGGTTTGTGAAACACTGGGTTGCCATATCTGAGCTGCAACAAACTGGTTGATCCCAAAATAAAGAGAACTAAATTGTTATTGGGACAGTGAATCTCATCAATGGAGTTAGCCTCTAAATCAGAGTGTGTTAAGAAATTGCAGCTACTACTGATTCCTATTGATCTGAAAAGGGCTAGTAATAAATGTTCCAGTTCAAGTGGAAGTTCCAGAAATACAGATAGTCCTTGACTTATGACCTGATGCTTAGCAACCTTTCAAAGTTACAACAGACCCCCTCCCCCCCAAAAAAGTAGTTATGATCCAATTTTGAAGTTCTGATTCCCTCCCTGCAGGCACATGACTACATTTTGGGCACTTTGCAACCTGCCCACATTTATGGCTAGGTCAGGTGGCCCTAATGTACAATGTTTTTGCCAGAAACAGGAAGCAACTGATCACAAAAGTTCTAAAATACATAGAATACAAAATAGGATGTAACCTATTTTACTGTCATCATGACTTTTGATTGTAATTGTCAGGCTCAATTATAGTTGTAAGTTGAGGACTATCTGTAGTTACCTTAGTTGTCTGGGATAATGTAGCTTACAGCAAAGCTCCTTGATAGTGAAAATAAAAATGATAAAAGCATACAAGGATTAAAAAAATTGGAAAGAGTCAAGAGTTGGAGCTACTGATAGTCATCTGTCTTTCGGAGATAGGTTTGGAAATATCTTTGCCACAATATTAATTATTTCCTGTTTCAGATTTAAATAATTAAAAGCCTAAATATCTGTCCTCTTAAGCCTGCTGTCTTCCAAATATAGTGGGGCCACAATTCCCCTGGACCATCCTAACTGAGATTTCTCAGAGCTTATTTGTTACATCCTGAAGGCCATTGTACAGTAAAGCTTTCTTCAGGAAATGACTATCTTCTCAATATTTGAGGAGACGCATAGGATAAAATGTATTCTATCATTGGGTTGTGTATTGTCAGGTTTATATCTCTGCCTTTCATCCAAAAACCTAATGTGGCAAATATAGCAGTCCTTGTATTTTTCCTACAGCAACAAACAGCTGGAGATTTGGGGCTGACAGCCCCAAGATTCACTGAGGTTTATTTCCTTCTTGCAGCCTTAATAAGGAAGTAACAAAAGTTATCATGTCAGATTATTTATTTTTCTATCTCCTAGAACAGGAATGTCCAACCTTGGGCAACTTTTAAGACTTGTGGATTTCAACTCCCAGAATTCCCCAGCCAGCCATGAATTCTAGGAGTTGAAGCCCACAAGTCTTAAAAATTGCCAAGGTTGGACACTCTGTCCTAGATTGATAGTTCTCAACCTGTGATCCATTTTGGACACATTCTGTAAGTTAGCCCTTTTGAGGTACCTTGATTGAAAAATTGCTGCCGAATGACGCACTGTTCTGCCCAGTTAAAGGTTGTGGGAACAAGAGTTTTAATAGTATATAGATGGATAGATAATGTAGTGGTGGGTTAATCATAAAAGGCTCTTTGAGTTAGCTGGCACGTCTGATTAGTTGAAAACTGCTCTTGTCAGTAAAAGGTGATGAACTGTTCGCTTGGCTGTTTTGTTACTCCAATATTAGTGAAACATAGCATGTGCCATGTGATTTTCCATGCCAGGAGAACAAACTGTTTGAGCTGCTTCTTTCAGTTTCAAAAGCTTTGTGGCATGCGTCATGTTACCAGGCATACCTTATTAAGTACTTTATTTTTTTATTTATAGAACTTATATGGCTGCCTCCTTTACACACAATAATCCTATGTAACTCACAACAGCAGGCGAAACTGAGTGACTGACATGCCTTGTTTACATAAATAAGATTAAAAAGTACAGAATCTAAAAATGCCAATAACAATGTAATACAAAACAATGCCTGCAATAATAAAACACTGCATTCATTCATTCACATTTTTCATGCCCACTTTTAGTGACAATTATGTTGGTATTGATTGGAGGTTGTCAATATCATTCTGATTACAAAATAGTAATAGTTTGAGAGGAAGATTCATTTCTTCAGTGCCTAACTTTTGACAACTTGTGCCCTCAGTTGATAATTTCTGGCAAGAATGATTGTGAGAATACTGTACAATTCTAAAACAGGTCACACAGTTTAATCCTAACTTGGAATTAAAACTCATTCAATTTGCTTGGAATTATTTTGCTGCTTGGTATTTATGTTATTAGAAGAATGATACGCAATCAGGACCTGTTGAACTGGAGTATTAGATTAAATCAGTTGTTTTGGTTTGTCAGTTGCCAGCATTGTAAATAGGTTCACACTTGTTCTTGTTCTCTAGGAATTGCTTAAGATAGTAATCACTGTTTATATATCAAGTTGTGTTTTCTTAAGAATAGGACCATGCATAGACAAAAATGTTGCAGTTATTTTTTCACCTAGTAAGAAGATCCTAATTTTTGATGGGTTTTTTTTGTTACGTTAAGAGTATTATTATTTGTAATATTTCTATTTTTCTACCTATGCAGTACCCTTTTTTCTGAATAATTAAAGAGTAGTTAGTTGTGCATTAATCTCAAAGTTGTTATTACTTGTCTTAAATATTCAGGTGATTTTAAGAGCTAGGCATTACGCACTAGATTTTTGTATGTCTTTTTCATATTTTGATAAAGCAGCATTTCAGCAGATTTTTGTATTCGGGAGAACACCATTTCAAGCAATTCCTAAGAAATATCAATATTTTTCTTAGTTAACTTTTCTTTTTTGAAGTACCTGGTAACTTGCTATTATTTAGTGCTAAATAATTTGCTGTTCAAGAAAGATGAGACGACAGTTCTAAGTATGTGACACCAATAAGGAACAGGCATAATAAGGATGGGCAATGAGGAGGAAGTATTAGTAATGTTAGCAGAGATGATGAAAGCTATTGGAAGGACACTATATAGGGTAAAAGTACTAGAAGCAATGCTATATTAAACTACAGCTCCTTATTGCAGTCTTCCCAAGGGAGCACCCTTCTAGGAATGTGACTATTGTGGTTCTAATATGACGATTCTGTTTCCACGTGAAAGCCAATTCAAGCAGGTTCAGGATATAAGAGAACTAATGAACGGCCAATCTCTTAATATCCTTATAACAGACAGTTCCATGTCTGCTACTTTTGCCCTAGACTAAGTGACTCCCTCTATAACAGTATTTTGCAAATTTGGCAAGTTTAAGATGGGTGGACCACAACTCCCATGGTCGCTGGGGTACTCTGGGAGTTGAAGTTTACCCATCCTAAAGTTGCCAAGTTTGAAAAACACTGTTCTAGACCATGGCTGTTTCAAGAATTCTGAGAATCGAAGTCCATGGGTCTTAAATGGGCCGTTGTTCTCCACATCCTGATCCTTACAGAATTCCTGGCCCTCCTAGGATCCCAACATAGGGAGGGTTTTAGATTGCGGAAAGTTGCCCTCAAGAATTAGTGCCGAGAGTGGCATGTACTACATGTCTTTGTTTGGAGTTTTTTCTACTGGGTTCTATAAGTTATTATTTGATTGAGTAGATTTACCGTATTTTTCAGAGTATAAGACACAGCTGTTTCCCTAAAAAAAGAGGCTGAAAATCTGGGTGCGTCTTATACACTGAATACAGCATTTTTTTGCCTCCCAAAACCCCGCCCCTTTCCTCAAAATGGCCATGTAGCCTTTGGAGGCTTTCAGAGTGCTCCTGGGTGCTGGGGAGGACAGAAGTGAGCAAAAAATGGGCCTTGCTCAATGTTGCCCTCCCCAGCCCCCAGGAGCACTCTATAAACCTCCTAAAGGCTATACATGCCCTTTTTTTGACAAAAAACAGGCCCGTTTTCATGAATGTTTTGCTCGTTTTGGGGGGGGCACCCTCCAGGAGCATTCTACAAGCCTCCTAAAAG